GTATTTGTAAGCGTTTTAATTGGATCCAGCAGCAAATCTGTAGCATCTGTTTTTGTTCTTTCTTGCTGTACATTGCAATGCCGTGTTTTTGGTTTTCTGTGGTAAAATGTAGTGCTACAAGGTCTTTTTTTATTTTTTTTTTTTTAAATTTTTGTTTTTCTACAAGAACTTTTTGGTAAACTGCAGTATCTGTTTGTTTTTCTTGTCTAGCATCTCTATTCGGATTTAACCACCAGTCTTAGGCAATCTAAATCCTTATTTCGATGTTATTTTGATCCCTCACACTTCCCTCTTTCTTTGCTTCCTAAATATGTTTGCTTATCTTTATAACCAGTCTATATCCGGATTTTCTGTCAAATTCATGGATTTCAAGCTAGGAAGAGCGTAGATAGATTAAGTATGACTAAGCATTTTTCAGGCATCTGCAGCTGATGTCGCCAACAAATTTTACCTCAGCAGCACGTTCACTTACCACACTAATGCTCCATCTCAATTATAATAGCAATACCGAAATGCGCCTCACAGCCATACAGATGAGGTATTTCATTCCTAATAGTACCGTCTTCTCTTTCTTGGTAAATTTTCGGCAAAGTCTTCTGAGTGCAGCGTCTGAGGCGATGTGGTCATACACAGAGAATTGTTGAGAGACGAAACTGATGTAACGATCACTGGCAGGTAACCACCGGAAGGTGGCACTGGTCAGAGCAAATGGAAAAGGCCAGGTTAGCTGCATAGTTGGACAACTGTGTTATGAATTGCATCTAATCAAATTACTTTCTCGTCTAAGTCTTGAAATCTTTGTCACCCTCGGAATCCGTGAACTTTGACTTCTTTAACTCTGGCGAATGGAAAAAAACAATTACAGGGCCTGGCTCAACGGTCGGATAAAGCTTCTCAGCGTGGCATCAGCAGATTCCAAATTTTGGACAATTGAGGTGGATTCTGCGGCTCATCCTGACCCTCATGCTACTATCACATGCCAGTACTCCTCTGGAGATTACTTGGAAAGGTTTGTTAGTTATTCACATTTATAGTCAATTTCAAATTTCCGTAGTTAGCTTTCAACTATTTCTTGAATAACTACACTAACTCGAAAAATATTAAAATATTTAAGTATGAACGATCGCATTTTTCGCTCGTTGTTGAATAAGATTACCAAGATCGTCTGGATAATCGATGTGGGTGTCCTCTGCCAGTGATGCTACTGGAATGTTCCCTCGCGCCGAATAGGGGATGTGTCAGCTATCTGGGCGAACTTACATTCTTCTGTTGCAGGTTTAACGGGTACGTGATGATGATGCTCATTAAGGTGAGAAGCTCAAAGTCGGAAGGCGACGTGCACTCGGACGACACAATTAACATTCACTGGACAGTGCAATACGTCGTCGCTGAAAACTCCACCTTTACGGTACTAATAAGCTATATGTCCACAGTAGTGTTTGTAGGAGGAAACGTGCATGTAGAACTGGTAACTGATACTGAATTGGGAACAAATGATCCCGTCAAAAGCATCAAAATCCACTTCATATTCACTGTCTATAAGAGGCGGAAGCACTCGGAAGCAGCCGGATTGGTGTCAACAACCAAAAGCGATCACCCGCTGGCAAGGCTGTCGTCGGCTTTATCTTTTGAGGATTGCTTAGATGCAAGCTGACTTTTTTGACCCTTTGGCTTGTACGCAGGACGGATGAACGAGTCGTCGAGGGACGGGTGGAATCACTGGCGAAGTCGAATCCTTGACTGAGGACGAGAGTAGTGCTGCTTGCCATTACATCATACCTATCAAAGGTGGCCCAGTACAGAGGCATAGCAATGCTTAGTCAGTACTTTCCTGTCAAGAACAGTTAAGCTTCACTCTTAGGATTGAAGATGATCTAGAAAATCCATTAAATCAGGTTAAGCAGATTTGTTTAGGATAAAACAGTAACGAAACGGGTTACGACGCAATTCCGAATTACACCAGACGTCGTCTATTCACTTCTACCGATGCTGAAAGTCAGTGATACCAGTTTGAATCAACTATTTGGACTTTCTTTCCGGAAGTACAGATAAACGGGGGAAGGGTGTTTCAGGATGAGAATCTGATAAACACGGCAGTGCTGTCCGGCAAGCAGGCATCAGTGCCAATGAAAATATTTGCGGTAACGGAAGCTGGAGATCTGAATGATGTGACGAGTAATTCGCACTGCCTGAGCTCTGAATCACGTGTCCTGAAAAGCTCACCGACCTGCAGTTCCCTCTACGTGGACGGGTACGGCTCAATGCCTTTGGTTCATTGTGATCTAAATTTCTAGTAAAAAAACATTCTATGCAAATACTTGATATAATTTAGTTGGTTGTAATTCATGTTATGGTTTTCTAATTGCGCAGCCGAAAACTTTTCCTCTTGCTCTGACCAGTGCTGCATCGTCCTCTTGACAATTTTGGTGTTCGTTTTGTCTCCGAAATGGATTATCAACTCAACGGTTTTTCCCGTTTGGCAGGGCTTTATGTGTTATAATATGTGTGTTGAACACTTCGTCTCAAACGTTGCTGTGTTAAATCACAATGGGTAAAATCAACTAGATTATTTATAGAGAAACAGCTCAACGTAAGTGAGTTATACAACTGATAAAATTTGTGAGTTTTTTATAGAAAGTAGCTCAAAAAAAAGGATCGAATTCTTTTTTTTTTCTGAATATCATTCCGCTAATTTAGGTCAGAGCTACGTGGCATGGGGAAGATCAAAGTTCATGTACACTTCGAAGCATTAACAACATCAGTTGAAATAACAGTCTGGTATCCACGGCTTCCCATAACTGTCTGGATTTCAGATCCAATCCTGAATGCTGTCAAAGGTTACTCTTTTTAAACAGTTTTTGAAAAAGTAATCAGATTTTTCGTGCACCATTTGGGTGCTTATTTCATAATATCGGTCAACCAATCCGTGTTAGTCACAACACTGATAATTCAATGTCGATGATCTAGGACTCGCTTCCTCATACGACAAAACGAGACTGATAAGTACTAGCCTTTATCAGAATAGTCAGATGTAAAAAATCTCTCAGTATTTATCTTGTATGATGGGCATTCGGGTAGTAATTCGAGAGGCAGCAAACGTTAACAGAGCTAACCAAAATGGAGAGAAATGGTGAAATTGCCAGACGCATCAGTGACAATACGAAATGCGACGATGAAACAACAACTGATGAAACTATCTAAATAC